TCTGTGACACCCCACGGGACGTGCTGAGCGTCCCACCAGCCATTGTGACGCCACAGGTGTGAGCAGGGCACGGCTTTGTTGGTGCCCGGAGCTGGCGCTCAGAGCTGCTGTGACCTCTCTGGGAGCAGCAGCACATCCCGCTCTGGGAGCTTTGTGCGCCTGTTCTGCCGGTTTGGTGGCTACAGGACAAGACCACTGTGCAGGGCAACCTCGTCTGCCCTGTGCTTTATACCCTTTGCCCGTCCTTATTCTTGTCCTTGTCCCCTTTGTCCCCCTCACCCTAAACCTCACCCTCATCCCGTTCATCATCCCTACTTGGCTCCCGGCAGCCCCGCTGGGGGCTTCGTGCGCTTCCTGCTGCTGGGAGCTCCGAGCAGGGCCATGCCGTGGCTTCTCAGCAAGAAGCGACGGCAGTCGCCGTCCAGCAGCACCAGTGGGCAGCCCTGGGCTGCCACCAGCTTCACCAGTGCCTCCGAGCTCAGGGAGAAGGGGCTGGGCAGGCTGCACCGCGCGGCCGCCCGCGGCGACCTGGCCTGGCTGAGGCGCTGGCGCTGGTATGTGAGGGCAGTTGGCATCGACAGGCGAGACCAGGACATGCGGTGAGTGCTGTGGGACACTGATGGCACACCTGGGCTGCTCCTGAGCCAAGCTGCAGCAGTCCTTGGCAGCCCTCTCTGAAGGACAAGGCTTGAAAAGTGAGATGTGCCCTGTCAGCTGGGAGAGTGAACTCTGGAGCTTTTCACTGCTTGGAGCTGCCGGCTGGGCTCGAGCGCTGTTGGAAACGCGTGTCCCCGACCTGCCGCTTCGCCGTGGTCTCTCTGCAGGGCTGTTTTGCACCTGCTCAGCCCTCACCTGTTCTCCTCTGCCCTGTGGCTCATCAGAGCAGGATTGCAGCAGCAGCAGCAGAGAGCAGCAAGCAGGAGGAGCAGAGTCCGGGCAGGGTCCCCAGGGTGCTGGGTAGAGACACAGCTTTGGGTTTTCCTTTGTCTGTCCAGGTTAAGAGCGTCTGTTTAATTTTTAGGACACCTCTGCATCTCGCTGCGGCAAATGGCCATGCAGATGTCGTTCGATATCTGATGAGAAAGAACAGCCAGCCCAACCTCACTGACAGCTTCAAGAGAACGGCACTGATGAAGGTGTGTGGAATGCCTTAGGATCTTGTAGGTGGGGTTAGTGCTGCTGTGTTAAAGAGGAGATGTCTGGCAGGATTCCTTGCCCCGCAGGCCCCCAGAAACATGCAAGTTGCATCCAGCATGGCATGGGCCTCTGTTAGCTAATCTTTGAAGATGATCTTCTCTCCCAGCATTCAGGAGCTGAGGGAGTTGTGACACAGGGGGATGTAAAAGTTGCAAGTCTTTCCCTTTCCGTGTGTTGTTCCCAGGCAGTGCAGCAGGAGCAGGAAGAATGTGTTGCTGTTCTGCTGGAACACGGTGCTGACCCGAATCTGGCGGACACTGACGGCAACACTGCCCTTCACCTGGCTGTGCTGTCTAAAAATACAGCTGTGGCAGGGCTGTTACT